CCAAGTTCGCGATTAATAATTAAGGTTGTAAACAAAGTGCAGAAGGCGACGGGAACCACTAAGAAAACAACGCTGAAAAAAAAAAGCCAATATTTAATTTATTAATTACAAGTAACAATCTCAAAATATATTTTATTTTGCTAAAGATTATAACAAACCTAACAGGCATAATCCATTTTTCGTCCTTTCCATGAATAGCAATAAATAAAATGTCTAATACAAGATCTACCACTATTAGCGTGGACACAAAGATGGTCAAGAAGTTGAGAATTGCATGATCTCTCCTTCTATGTTTCACATCATCACTCTTTAAAATGAAATATATTTTAGTATATTATATTTTAAAAAAAAAACACATTCATTCATATTTATAGACTATTTTTACCCTGTAGCGCCTACAACACGTAAGGCACCATAAAAGCGATAATAGTGCAAGTCCAACAAAAACGCCAATAAGGATATATTTGTATCTACTCCATAAGTCAGCTGTATAAAAATTAATTAAAAATACATAATTGGTAAATATACAAGGAAATATAGGAAATATGCATAGAGTATATGGGTATCATGAATAACATAAGAACGTACGTATTGGCCAAGCACCATTATGTTGATCAATGTATTGAGAGGTGGTGCCAGTGGAAATTGCCGAAATATCCTTGTTAACGATCACATCATTTAAGTCATCAGCAAGGCTAGGTGCACCTCTACTATCTCCTTGGGCGCCTTGAGTGCTTTGACCGCTCGGGGCATTTTGGGCAATATTAACACGCATAAAAAGTTGATCACCACTATTATTATAATTACTGTATTGATAAAGTACCGGTATTTTAATACGCGAAGCATCACAATTAATAACTGTGGCAATATCACCACCCATATTTTTAACAAAGGTAGATTTATCGTTTGATGATAAATCTACGTAATGTTGAGTTCCTTCAGGGGTTAGACGAATGATAACGCTTCTATCACCTATGTATTAAATTACGTTAATAATGATATTCTTTTTTTTATAAATAACTACTTCTTAACCATCCCACTATCATTGTTATATGTTCAAAATTCAACATAATTTGATAGTCCAATCACACCAATCACAGATCGTTTGTGACAATTTGCAGGCAAATTTGCTGCTGCAGGACGATTTAAGAAATAAATATTTGGAAATTTATTATTACCCTTCGAAGTATCGGCGGCAGCGTCGGCTAAAACAAAAAATATAGAATTGTAATATATTAATAATTGAAAATAACTGAAATAATTAAGTACATAGTTATGGATGAAATAAATACATGTATTTAAATTCCACACAGATTTTTTGATACCAATAAGGTTCTGATCTTGCGCGTTTTTTATTGCATTATCATCCACTGTAATGTAATATTCTTTATGACCACCACCCATATAGCTTGGTAACAGTGTTACGGTTACATTTTCACTGTTAATTTTAACTTTATCATGAGAAGCCGGAATTGCGCCACGTAAAGAATCATCACCTCCAGTGGTATTTACTTCCCAGACTTTGAAAGATCCATTGGATTTATAAACTTGGCTATTATACGTTATTACAATTTCTGGAAGTCGTGGCGCAACGATCGCATTCGATGATGGTGTGACAGACGAAATATAGGATGAACCGAGCATACCAGCTTTTTTTTTTGTTTTTAAATGGTATATTTAGATCAATAAAGTTTGTAATATTTGTAACAATTTCAATTATCGCTTACCTGGACGGAAATTTGTTAGCGTGTCAGATGAATGAAGAGTCCAACTTGAACTATTACTTGCATTATCTGTACTTTGAGTAATGGCCCACACAGTGTTGTTTGCAGTCAAGCCAATGATCGGTATACCAGCTGTAAAATCAGTAAGACCCCAAGTTCCATGATCGGTTCCATTATTGTAATACACAAGCCCTTGAACATTGCCTATATCTGTAGCATTTGTAGTGTTCTTAACAACAAAAATATAACCACCGTAGGATAAAGTTTCGACATCCACCACAGTAGTATATGGAGCAGGCATATTTACAGTAATGTCATTCGTTTTATTGACAGAACCAGAAGACCAAAAATTAATATTAACGTATACAGTTTTATCTGTTCGTTTAGTATAAACTAAACAATTGTATCCAACTGATTCCTGTGCAACAGAACATTGGTACAAGTAATAATCAGTAGTATTTGTACTGGGCTGCGATTCATATATGTTGTAATTTCCTTTAGTTGAAGAGTCTGTATGGGAAATCCAAATTAAATAAAGTTGCCATGGGCTTACTATTCCCTGTCCAGATTGAGACACATATTTTGTGTAAACTAATCCGTAATCATTATTCTCAGTAGGAAAAATGGTTATAAATTTTGAAAATTGTGACATATCGGTAATCTTTGTAATTTCACTAGATTGGCCAGATGCGCCAGTCGTAATCGAACCATCTGTTTTTCTAAAAGAATAAAATTGATTGAATGACGCTAGAACTTTGAGAATAAATAAATTTGTAACATTAAAGTATTTCAAAAAAAAAAAAACTTACATTGTGTATTGTGTCCAAGTTAAAGTGCTAGTTGTAGAGTTGTAGCATGTGTACAAAAATCCATCACTTTTATAGCTTTTAACTATTTTGACAGCTGAGCAACTCTCACCAAAATTAATCACATTTCTACGTAATGGATCAATAAATGAACATGAACAATAAGTATTCATTATGTACGAAAAAAAAATTTCAAATAACTTACCCTCGAACACTACGACTGGACCAATCTATTATAATTCCACACATTTGATAGGATTGTGGATAATTACAATAATATGTTACAAGTACAAATGGTTTGGATAGAGCATAAATATTGATAGTACTATATGATGAAGTTTTTGATCTCGGTACCATAACTCCGGGGCCGTTTGAACTAATTGGTATGGTGGTATTAGCCGGTATCGTTCCATTATTCGGTCCATTAGGGGTTGTTCCATTTCCATTTGGTCCGTTTGGTGCATTTGGTCCGTTTGGTCCATTTGGTGCATTTGGTCCATTTGGTGCATTTGGTCCATTTGGTGCATTTGGTCCATTTGGTCCATTTGGTCCATTTGGTCCATTTGGTGCATTTGGTGTATTTGGTCCATTTGGTCCATTTGGTCCATTCGGTCCATTCGGTCCATTCGGTCCATTCGGTCCATTTGGTCCATTTGGTGCATTTGGTCCATTCGGTCCATTCGGTCCATTTGGTCCATTTGGTGCATTTGGTCCATTTGGTGCATTTGGTCCATTTGGTCCATTAGGTCCATTTGGTCCATTTGGTCCATTCGGTCCATTTGGTGCATTTGGTGTATTTGGTCCATTCGGTCCATTCGGTCCATTCGGTCCATTTGGTGCATTTGGTGCATTTGGTGCATTCGGTCCATTTGGTCCATTAGGGGTTGTTCCATTTCCATTTTGTCCATTCGGTGTATGTCCACCGTTCGGTGTTCCAACACAATTTCCCCATTGGTCGTTACAACTTTTTTTGCAATCTTCATCAGATTCTCCACAATCTTTTTCGCAATCCTCTTTAGATTGTTTACAATCTTTTTCGCAATCCTCTTTAGATTGTTTACAATCTTTTTCGCAACCCTCACCGGATTCTTTACAATCTTTTTTGCAACCCTCCCCGGATTCTTTACAATCTTTTTCGCAATTTTCAGATCCATCATCACAATCTTTTTTTCCTGCGGGATGTTTCGGATTCTTTGTTGGCTTACTTGGATGCTTCTTTGGCTCACTTCCGTCATCACAATCTTCTTCATACTCTTTATAATTTCTTTTATGCATATTACTATTCTGAAAACAAAAATTATTCAGAGGTATAGTACCATTGTTTGTAGGATAATCAAATCTGGTTATAGTTCCGTTCTTAGCAATTATACGAAAGTGTAATATAGGGTCTCCACATGATCCTGATGTAATAGGTTTAAGTAGCATTAGAATTGTATCATCAGGATAAGTATCAACTTGAGATACAGCTAGTGGTTCAATTTCATTATATGAATTTGTTAAAACCCTAGCATCAGATGCAATTATCAAAAAACACAGCACTACTAATAACGAAAGGGCCACGCGTTTAAGATGAATTCGCTCTTTCCAACGATTTAGCAACATGTTGGCAAGAGTCCGAATGCCCGGGAACTTTTTAGAAAAAAAAGGTTGTATCCACAATCCGAGAGGATAGGGAGGGGTTTTCAATTTTGATTAGAACTCAAATAAATAGGATTTTTGAATGGCGCCAAGCGTGTACAACGGTGCGGGTAACCTACAACGACATATATATTTATATGTATATACTAAACTTTATTCGATTCCATTGTAAAAAAAAACTGTACAATCTTTTTTTAGGCCATGTTTATGAGAAGAGATAAAAATTGTCTGTGTAACATATCTACTTACGACATTTCTGCATTTATAAACAAATTTTATCCGTAAATGACTTATTTAAAATTTCTAAAATAATTAATCATTGTTGATTGTTTTAGTCACACGAAGAATAACCGGGGAAAAAATACCAACTTTGTCGATATCCCTCTTGTTAACGCCATTAATACCTTTTTAACCGGTAGTAGCCGCGCGCCGTGCATAACTAATCTAATAATATTAGTATTAAATTTCATGATTTATCGTCATGCAGTCTGTCCGGACAATATTTATGATTATCGTTATTCAAATTAAGAATTTCAATGTTTCACGGATTCCAAATTTATCTATTGTCCTTTAACGGCCGATCCAAGACAGACACAAAAGTACTTAGTTACAATCACATATTAGTCAATTTCCGCTGAGTATATGCTATGTTAATTAATATTTTATAAATGGATGCTTAACTATTAAAAACTACTAAAAACTATCAAGGTTACTACAAATGTCGTGAAAAAATTTAAATTGTTCCTTTGTATAATCTGCGCAAAAAAAAAAAATTATCCCTGCATTCCTTTACTTTTTTCGCACAAAGCATTGGTTAATAAACAATGTTATACGAAGTTAGAACTTTTGTACGTATCATACTGTCATACGCATAACATATTAAAATTAATTAATTAAATAAAATAAGAATGATATTACTAAATTTCATTTTCTTGCATTACTGTATTTAAATATTCTAAGATATCGACCGTCAATTTTTCCTTGAATTCTTCTTTAGTCATATTATATATGAAAATGTATTATTCTAAATAAAGCGTAAACTATTTATTACGTCATTAACTAAAATTCTAAAATTAATATCACTGTAATTAATTATGAATTTTGTGATGTATCGATTGTACTACCGTTTGTAAATATTCATTTTAAATGAAAGACGTGCTATATATTGTTAGTTTATAATTAGATTAAGATGCAAATTAAAATATGGCTAGGCAGCGATTAATTGAGTAGTAAAATCGTTAGATCATGCGTATATAGTAAAAGTAGTTTTAAATGTTCAATTTAAAAATTTGGTCAATTAAACTAAATATTGTTTGTAATACGATCTCAATTAAAAATATTTTGATATCGATAAATATTTAGGATAATCAAAAAATAGTAATAATGTTTAATAAAAGTAATTCTAATATTATAATTATTACTTTTTAAAGTATATGGTCAAAATCTTTTTGAGTGCATCATTTTTGGATTTTATGCAAATGATGTAAGTGTGCATTTAGAGTGGGAAATTTATAAATTCTCTATGCTTAGATCTCGGAATCCTTTTATCTTGCAGTTCCAAAAAATCAAATGCTATAATCAAATTATTGCCAAAACTTGAAACCTATCTTGGGATCAGGCGAAGGCGTACATTTGGAGAGAATGCATATATTGCGTGTATTTATAGCGAGTGTGTAAATTTATAAAGATTTAATATTTATAATAGTAAGCAATGAAAAACGGAAACCATTTTACGTATTTTTTTCTGTCACGTTTTCGCGCGTTGCCATTTCTTAATGTCTGCCTAGGTTTCCTACTGGAAAAAAATTCTCAAATCGTTTTTGAAAAACTTGATTTGCCTCGAAATTTTGCCTATGAAATCACTTTCTGCGCCATATCAAGGCATCTTTTTTTCGATATTTTATAATCTAATCATCTAGCGTCTCTAGCGCTAGTTAAGATGTGATTCTTTGATCCTGTGAACCTGTCTAAATTCCATTGTGTTACACGTGCGCACTTGGGCTGTTATCAAGTGCCCCCTACAGTTTATCTAATGACTGATTGGCTAAAAAATAAATAGTGATTGCATGTCCTATTAATAACACTACAGCACTAGATTACCTATCTTCTATGTTAATTTCTGAATTTGCTATGCCGAGATGTATGTATGATGGAAACCACATGAATGCGTCAAGATCAATGACGCATGGCAGTGATCGACAAAAAAATCAGGCCAAAGTTACACAGATTTTCTGATGAAACCACAGCCGCCCATTATCGTTATGTAAAAATATCTCTGGACTAATTTTACTATGAAGCAGGTTTATTTTCTAGAATATTTTCTTTTTTTTTTTAGATTGAAAAAATTAATTTTTGGCCAAATTTAGAATTTGAGGATCGTCGGCCTAAATTGGATTAATGCAGGCCAACTGCCGTATTTGGTGTGGTGACTAGATTCAATAGCGCAGCTGAGGCTGTGCCTATAACCATATGATTTATTTATCTCGTAATCGAAATTATACTACGACCTGGGTTTAATTTGTGTTACAAATCGAAAATTGAAAAAATCGATTAGTTGGTTAGTCGACAACTAATCGATTGAACTTTTTAGACACCAACTAATCGATTAGTTGCAACTAATCGACTAAAGAATTAATCGATTGTTGCAAATGAATC